TACTTACTTCTCAAATATTTGCCACTTTTGAAAATAACATATGACTAGATATACATGTGTGTGTGGCTCAATTTGAATTGCAGTTTGATAACTCAAAATGGCACCGCATAGTGTGGTTTGGTAAAAACACAAACTGCTCCGCAAAAGTTATGAGTGTTTTGCGGTGCGGTGTGAGCAGTTTATGCGGTTTAGATGAACACCCCTAGGAGAATAGGTGTTGCAGCAAGTGAGTACTTCCATAAGCAATATGAGGCTAGGGTAACAGAAGCATGTGTGTTCTCTTAAGGTGCGTTTGGTAGGCAGAACAGGGTGGGACATGACAGGACAGAATATAACATATTTGTCCCATGTTTGGTGTGGTTTTATGTGGGACTAAGTGGAACAAGGTAGAACACGGGTAGGACACAGTAGTCCACCCTTCCCTTCATATAACTAACTAGAACAAGAAATAATTGACCTTTCTACCCTCTCAAAACCTTCATCATCGTACCCTTATTCCCCTCCATCTTCCACCATCTCCTTCATCATCGGCGACCTATTATCAATCAGCGGCCTGGACAGAATCGTTCCCTTCGCAATCGTTCTCCTTCACAACCGTTCTCCTTCACAATCGATCTCCTTCATCAATCGTTTAGAAGAACTCGACAGCCCCAATTGTTTTTCACGAACTCGACAGCCCCAATCGTTCGACCTTCTCCTTTCTCCATATTCTCAGGTAATCGATCTCTCCTCTCCTTCATTAAAGATGTTATCACACTTCGATTCTTGAAAGATGTTATCTTAATGCCATTAAAGATGTTATCGCACTTCGATTCATGAAAGCTTACTGTATTCAAGCATACTGTTTGCATTTTCTTAACTATATTCAAGCTTGCTGTATCGTACTTCGATTAATGTCATTATAGATAAATATAAATTTCTTTTGAAGTATTTGAGTTCCTAAGCATACTGTTTGCATTTCCTTTTTGAAGTATTTGAGTCTCATTGAAATTGATGTTTATCTACTCCATTTCCTTTGAGTATTTGAGTGCCCTAAGCTACTGTTTGCATTTCCTTTTGAAGTATTTGAGTGCCCTA